ATCAATAGAAGCCCCCCCCCCCCCCCCTCTCACAAGAACCCTTAAACCTGGGGTCATAAAATTCACAATTTTGGAAGAGGCATCCTTGTGTATCATAACAATGTACTTTAGTCTGTTTAAGCAATACCCAGGGGCAGAGAAGAAGATTTTCAAAGAAATAATTCACCTTCACTATAGGATCTATATACAGTCCCTGAAACGTTCTACTTTCCCACTTGAACGGTGAGCGAACGCTGAACGAACGGTGAACGAACGCTGAACGAACGCAGAGCGAACGGTGAGTGAACGATGTGTGAACGCTGAACGCAACTTGGTGAACGATGTGTGAACGCTGAACGGTGAGCGAACGCAGAACGCGAACAGAGCGCAAACGCGAGCGCAAAGTGAACGGTGAACGAACGGTGAACGCAAGATGAACGATTTATTCGGAATGCCTCTGATCTTTTCCTTGCATTGAAACTATTCTATTGTATTCTAATGCCTGGTGAAAAAAAAAAAAAATAAATAAATAAATAATAAATAAACAAATCAGTGAGAATTGTCCTAAGAAAGACGATACATGCACATTAAGCAAAATTATTAATTTAAGTTTCTTACAATATTTTCTGCACAAATGTACGATGTTTAAATTCAACTTTTTGATAATACGATTTTTATCGCTGTAAAACATTGTAATTGTTACCGAACTCTGTGTTATAACAGATGAAATTAATCTAGTTGTAAAATAAATATGTTTATTCTTATTTTATATATAAAACCATTACAAATAATGTGGATTTTAGAAGAGAAAACTACGGACTTATAGAATGAATTACAATGGTTGTAACAACCATATGCATACAAGGCGATTCCGTGTAAAATAATAAGAAAAAAATTTTTTACAAAGGTATGTGGACGTATTGCATAAATACACTCGTATTTTAAAATTTTATTGCAATAATATATTTATGTGTCAGTTTTATTTTTTATGATGATTTATTAAGCAGACTTCTACATGTATCTGTAGACATTTCCCGGTCGTGATTATACTCGGACAAGATGATACAAAGAGGCAATCATATTATTTGATATATATTAAATTTTCACAACTTGATATTTAAGTAATATGCTGTCATAGTTTTTATTAAACAGACAAATGAGAGAGAGAGATTCGGTTTTAGCCCCCCCCCCCCCCCGCCCTTTCCTCAAATGTTTGTACCTATACCAAACAAAAATTCTAAATTTTTTCTAAATATATCAGGCAGTGAAAGTAACCATTTTTTAAATCAACAAGTCCATTTGTTTTACAGTCATAATCGGTTTTTATTTTCCTGCTTCAAGTTCACATGAAGTCCACGTGCATGACCTGTCAATCAAAATCATTCGACACTGTGCAGGTGTGAAAGTCTCGTCACACCGAAGGCAAAGTGTTAGTATTTCCAAGAAGTTTTAACATTTTTTCTTATCATTTTTAGATCTGATTCCAACATTTCTAAAAATAAATAAATAAATGAATAAAATACATTGGGAATAAATACTTGGAATAATTAAGCCACTTGAATTTGAAACATACTCCCTGCCAATTTGAAATATCACCGCCGGCACATGTATATTTTGAACTACTATTGTTTAATGACTTTGTTTAGATGCATATTTGTTTGCTACAAAACACTAACTTCTTTTTAAATGTTAATTAAAATGTACTGGTAACACTAACTAAGTAACCGATTTAGGGGAAAGGGGGGGGGGGCTCTTAATAATATCGAATGACAAACATTTAAAGTTACGATGAAAAATATCATAACTGGAGAATCACTTGGTTATATAAATGATAATCATGTTATAAACACATTTCTCTCTCTCTAATTAAAGACTTTATATATGTAAAGATAAAAAAAAACTCTTTAATGTATTGCATTTTAAACAAATATTTCTTTAAACCACACTATCAATTTAATTCGCTCTAAAGATATTTAATTAACTGGATATCCGCAGCACTGTTTATCATTCTCAGAAAAAGTTCTAAAATGTATTTCTGTATTATTTAAAAAAAAATGTGATAGAAATAAATATTTTCGTATTTTTGCTGCAGTTGGTAAAATAATTTAACTTCGAATATTATCTATCTATTAACGATTTGTCGTCCTTAACATAACAACAAAATGTTGCAGTGCTTGAAGTATCAGTATTTTGCCCGTATTTAAATTTAATTTTTCAGCATCGTTCTACTTAGGTACATACATGTACTTATAACAACATTTATTTTCCAGATAAATTTTATAAATAACCCAACAGCTAAGTTAGAATAATAAAAATTAATTTTGTAGATAATTTTTTTTTCCTATGAAATAATGATTCTTTAAACACGGTATGTTATTTATTAAATTCAAAACCTGTAAATCCTTACTTAAAAAAAGATAAGTCCTTTCACTTCGGAGTTCCGAATGACACTGAAGACTGAACGATAAGTGAACGCTGAACGCAAGGTGAACGCAAAGTGAACGAACGAAGAGCGAACGGTGAACGCTTTGTGAACGGTGAACGCGAGCGCACGGTGAACGCTGAACGCAAAACTGTGAACGGAGAGCGAACGGTGAACGCACGCTGAATGAACGGTGAACGCACGCTGAACGAACGGTGAACGAACGGAAAAATGGGAAAGTAGAACGTTTCAGGGACTGTAGCCCCGCCCTAGCACCAAAACTCCTGTCCCCGGGGCCATGAATTTCACAATTTTGGAAGAGGCATTCTTGCTTATCATAACAACGTACTTTGTTTGTTTAAATAATACCCAGGTGCAGAGAAAAAGATTTTTAAAGAATTAAAACATTTTCACTTTATAATCAATAGAGCCCCGCCCTAACACCAGAACCCCTGATCCAGGGGCCACGAATTTCACAATTTTGAAAGAGGCATCCTTGATTATCATAACTAAGTATTTAATGTGTTTCAATAACACCCAGGAGTAGAGAAGAAGATTTTCAAAGAATTAATGCATTTTCACTATATAATCAATAGAGCCCCACCCTAACACCAGAACCCCTGACCCAGGGGCCATGAAATTCACAATTTTGAAAGAGGCACTCTTGCTCATCGTAACTATGTACTTAGTTACTGAATTTAATACCCAGGAGCAGAGAAGAAGATTTTCAAAGGATTAATGCATTTTCAATATATAATCAATAGAGCCCCGCCCTAACACCAGAACCCCTGCACCTGGGGCCATGAATTTCACAATTTTGGAAGAGGCACTCTTACTCATTATAACTATATACTTAGTTAGTTTATTTAATACCCAGGAGCAGGGAAGAAGATTTTCAATGAATTAATGAATTTTCACTATATAATCAATAGAGCCCCACCCTAACACCAGAACCCCTGCCCCTGGGGCCATGAATTTCACAATTTTGGAAGAAGTACTCTTACTCATCATTACTATATACTTAGTTAGTTTATTTAATACCCAGGAGCACAGAAGAAGATTTCCAAAGAACTAATGCATTTTCACTATATAATCAATAGAGCCCCGCCCTAACACCAGAACCCCTGACCCTGGGGCCATGAATTTCACAATTTTGGAAGAGTCACTCTTACTCATCATAACTATATACTAAGTTAGTTTATTTAATACCCAGGAGCAGAGAAGAAGATTTTCAAAGAAATAATGCACTTTCACTATGTGATCTATATAGCCCCGCCCTAGCACCAGAACCCCTGACCCTGGGGCCATGAATTTCACAATTTTGGTAGAGGACTCAATGCTTATTACAATCATGCCAACAGTTTGACTGCTTGATGTCCAGGAGTAAAGAAGAAGATTTTTAAAGATTGCATTTATTTTGGTGGTTTTAGCCCCACCCCTCAGGCCCCAGGGGGGCAGGGACCATGAAATTCACAATTTTTGTTCCCCTTCACCGATAGATGCTATATGCCAAATTTAGTTGAAATTGGTTGAGCGGTTTCAGAGAAGAAGCTAAAAATGTTCAAATGTTAACGCACATCCCACGACGCACGCCGACGGACAAAAACGGATAGCAATAGGTCACCTGAGTGACTCAGGTGACCTAATAAAAAACAAAAATCGCTGTAATTAGCACTTTTTAAAAAATATCATAATACTAATACATTTTTAAAATTTAAAGTGCTAATTTCAGTATTTAGAAAAAAAAATAATGAGAGTATTCAGACACACCTACAAAAACACTATACACTCATCCTGAAACCAAGCACCTACGGTAAGAACCACATGGCATCAATAGACGAATTGATTTCGTAATATCATTAGCATAGAAAGATGCAAATCAAGGTACTTATACCTATTGACTGAAAAAATGATACGTTTGAACAAGTTTACAGAATTCCAGTCTTGACTAAACGCAGATGCTCAAAAAAAAAAGGGGGGGGGGGCTTGGAATGGTATATACAACATGTAGTTAGATATCAAGTGTGTTATGGCATGGTGACTTCACAGGACAATCACTGTCAGTCAGCAATAACAATTGAGTATCAATGTTTTAATAGATCAAAATGAACCATTATCACCATCTGCTCAAGTTTTCAGACTTTCCTGTCTGTTACATGTAGTAATGGATAAACAGTCAATATTTCTTGCAATTCCAAGCATACAATTTTTTTTTTTTAAACTGTATTTCATCCCTCAAACAAAACAGCAAATACCCCTCTCCCAATATGCCAATGAATAACCAATACACATGCATTTTAGGTGTACATGTGGTACATGTCAACCTATTGAATGTCCAGACAAAAGGTTTTGCTGTCAAGAATGTGACAAAACAAAAGCTAAAATTAATGAGGGAAGCAAACAGACCAATCAGGATTTTATTTGTATAACATCCCATCTTGGATTTCAAAGTGTTTGTTTGGATCCATGGGTTCTAGAAACAGCCTATTATGCTTACCGACAAGAATGGGGAAGAATACAGAAACCCCAGCATCAGTGAGTGTCGTCTTAAAAAATAAAACCATACCATGAAATACATATTATAAAAGAAACATTCAACCATGGTTAAATATCAAACACATTTTATATATTAAAGCACAATCTTTACAAAAAAATGTGTAACATTTTAGGAAGTTTCGATATGTGGCTTATCGTCAATTAGTAAGATGGTGTTGGGGTTTCCTGGGAAAGAACAACCATACTCCTTTACCAGCCTCTGTAATGTCACGCATTAGAAATGCATTTCCTGCAAATGATGGACAATACAAAAACTTTGAGTGGCCAAATAAATAGAAACCTCGGTAAGGTCATTCTAACAATTAAGCGTTCAAACCCCCAAAAAACTGTCTAATGCAGCATTTCTCAACAAGTTCTTACAACTTGTCAGACCTTAAAGGCAATAAAATACATGTACATACTGGTTTTGGTACTCAACAACAAGATGTTTCTTCATGCCTTGTGCACAAAGTTTCTACGGAATTCTCATTAGGTGAAAATATAAGTTTACAATTTTATGTGGCTGTAACAATAAAGTATAACAATAAAGCATAATTAATAGACACAAATAAATGTTTCAAGTGTCATCTGTTATATCTGGACACAAACATCTCCACTGCTTCTGCCTTGTCCGGTTGATCTGCATTTGTGGATAGACAGTTGGGTACCCTAGCACGTAGCTTATTGATGGAATCTCGTAGTTGGCTTGGCCCTTGTATATATCGATCTACCAATTCTTGTTGGAGATGCATGGCATAATCTGAAATACAGAGTTTTTCAGCTAACTGTTTCTTTCAACAACGATTCTTTTGAAAATATCAGGTGATATAGTAGCTGAACACAACAATGAGGACTCTTTTATCATTATATGAAAATAACATTTGAATATTTAAGATCAACTGAAAGTTTCAATAATATGATCCCATACCATAAGTAGGCTTAGTTTTGTCAGGACGTACAACAGCTTGTCCTTTCCTTCCTTTCGGGTATCTGATTGTGAAGCAAGCTTCACCTTGTCTGTTGAACATTTGGTCATGATCAGAGTTCTCATTATAATGGAGTCCAGCCAAGAAGAGTCTGGTTATTTTTAAAAAGAAAAAAAAATCACAAATTAATTAAAGCACATAGTGTCTGTTTTGGTTTGTGCGGGCCAATGATCAGCAATTCAAAATATTAGAAAGTGCCAGTTGGCTTTAAAACAGTAATGTTCATCATATGGCTACTTAGATGTTAGAATGTGCTAGAGTTATTTTTACTCACCAACATAACATTCCAAGATAAGAAAAGGCTGTATTCTTGGGAGCAAAATGGAGTATCAAGCTATGAAAAGCCTCCAAGGAAGATGTCTGCTCCTGACTGGAAAGTCTTGAAATGTCTTTTAAGAGGGTCTTGTTTAAAAGAATCTTTTCCAATTGTTCAAAGGCTTTGCTTGCTAAAAATTAATATATATATATATATATATATATATATATATATATATATATATATATATATATATATATATATATATATATATATATATCTATATATATATATATATCTATATATATATCTATATATATCTTACATTTGCATTTGTGATTTATATATATATATATATTTCTTAAATTTGCATTTGTGATTTATTTTGGATGACTGACTCAAATTTCTACAGAATGATTAAAATACGTTAAAAAAGATGTTAAATTTGAATAGGCATAATAAATAATACTTGGATTAAGCCACTCAATCTCCCGCTCATCATCTTCTTCCAGGGGATCATGAAAACAACTTTGGAAAAGAGCATTCGGGTGGTTGGTGTGGATGTTTTGCACATAACCGACTCCCACTTGGCAACAATCAAATCCCCATTGTTATCTGGTGTAGAACCTACGGACCAATACATATGATTGGTGATGGACTGCTTCCATTTACCAACAATATCACAATCCTTGACCTTTGCTAAAGCTTCCAGTTTTTTCCCTGTGCCTATACAAATTTAATTCATATGTTGAACTCGCAGGATATAATTTCAAATATATACCTGAATGTAAATTTTTCCACTTGAATGTTTAATATTTAAATATATCCATACTGTTCGCTTTAATTTTTCTTCATTTATAAGTACAGGTACTTACCCTTGGCAACATGCCAGATGTCATAGAAGTGGTTTGTTCCATCAAGGTTTTCCTTTATCCACTTGTTATTCTGTCTGTGTCTGTCTGTAATAAGGGTGTCTAACTGCAACCCCTCATCCTTCAAAAATCTAATGCTTCTTTTTAACCCTTCATGCTCACACCATGAACTATTTGGAACTTCATTGCTCTGTGGAAAAAATAGAACAAATATGAGACATGTATTCTAATACACCCTTCAATAATTTTTTCCTTCTATATGTATCATGAATAATGGAGGAAACATGATTTTTTTGTTCTTACTTGTAAAAAAATAAACATTATCCAAAAAAAATAGCAATAACTATTCTCTAGTCCTTCCAAAACACTTAACAGGAAAATCATGCATAACTTAGATAAACATACCTGATTAAGATATACATGTGATAAACATACCTGATTGAGATATACATGTAGCTGTTCCAGAAAATAAAAGTGAACAAAAACAAGTCTAAAAAAAAAAACAAACAGAGGTTTTAGTATCATGCCAAAACCTCTTCAACACAAACAGTATGCACCAAAAACTTTCAGCACAAGCCCATTCAGGCTAGTGATGGCAAAACTTTACTAGCCAGAACAAATAACTTTTTACATCCCCCCTCCCCCCCCCCCCAAAAAAAAAAAAAAAAAAAAATTAGGATAAGTTTTAATTCATTCAGTTTAATCAATGATGCTCAATAGTATATTCAATTTCAACAATTCTTTGATTTTTTTCATATTTAACAACTGAATCTATGCTGAAGCTATTTTAGCACATACATTTTATTTGAAAGTGAGATATGGCCATCAAGTTTTCAATTTGATATGAGCCTTCTGTACATATTACTAATTATGGACATTCTAATTCTGTCTTTCACCGATAGAAAATTTTAGAAACCCTTCCTAGAATTAAATAAACAATTTATTCAATGCATATGCATTGTTTTCAATAGAAATAAAAATTTATCTGGAAAGATTTAAGCATTGGATTGACATGTCAAGTTTGTGCCACCAAAAAATTTTAAAGCAACAGCTCAAATTATAAATAAGAAATTAAACAAAATAAATTCAAAATATCAAAATTTTATCTTCTAAACTAAAACAAAGGATAAATAAAGAATAAATCAACATAACATATAAAAGTACCTGCACTTGTTGAATGTCTAGAACTTTGTTGATCTTGGTTTCAATGAAAGTGAATGCACCATATTTAGCACAAAGACCAGGGCTGTCCGAGCGTCCATCACCAGCAAGCACCAACCCTCTGTTCTGTGATTCAAGTCGGCAATGATAGAAATTTGTGCCTGCCTCCAATGAAGCACAACTGTTGGTAGAACATACTGTTGTTGATGCCTAAAAATAAAGTTCGTATTAAAATACTGTAAAAGGTACCAACATGCACAATTGAAATTCTATGTATTTCTAAATTTTGAACTTCCAGGATATGCCTAACAACTTAGAACTGGACTGATTGTGAAATGCTATACCCCCCCCCCTCCACATTTAATTGATAAATCAATAATCACCTTGGTGAATGACCCAGATTAGACATTGACTATAAACCAATCAAGTTTCTAATATATTGAAAAAATAATACTTACCTAAAAAATGTAACTGCGTCCAAAACAAGCCATATTCAACAACTTGAACATTAGCAGGCACTTGCTACTAAGACTACCAGAATATAACATGGAACCCAAAAGAAGAAGATTTCCAGCTGGCATTTTTCTAATATAAGGTTGACTGGCCCAATTATTGACAAATTTACACGCAGAGCACTTCTGCACTATATGAATGCAAGTTCCAACTCTCTTATCAACAACACCACAAACTGGAAAATGACATCTTGGGCAAAACTGAAAGAGCTGTAGAAGTTGCCACTTGAATACTAAAAACTTTTCCTCTAGATGACAAGCTTCCGGCTCCTCCACTGGCATTTCTTCAGTACTACAAAATTTAAAACATACCATTGGACTTATCTGATGTTGCATCAAGCAGCTCTAGCAAGATTTGAAACCAGTAATCACAGAATTTTTTTGAAATCATAAAAATGCCAAACACATCACTTGGTATTTACACGATATTCTAAAAATTCCCAAAATTAAAATTAAAACAAAAGTGTTTGTAAAACACCTTGTCCCCAGTGATAAAAAGGTTCCATGGAAGCAAATATGACATTTGATTACCATCAATGACATTGTCTCTTTACTGACAATGACCTCTGACCTTTCTCATGATCAAATATGATGTCTCTGTCTTGTATAGCTTAAAAGAAATATACAAAGTTGCAAACAGAAAGACAGAGACAGACCTTCAAATCTAGCAACCTAAAAATAAATAACTACAAAAGCTGTTTAAAGGCTAGTAGCAAAAATTCTTGTTATTTTGTGAAGCAGTGGGCATTGTAGTTGAAGTTTTAAAATCAGCTTTACATACAGGTGTATGGATACTTACTTTACATCATTTTGTGTAATGTCAAGAGTGGAGCTGTCAGGAGTGAAACAACTTTCCTTTTCAGTGTTGGAATTTTGGTTTGTGGTCTTCTCAAAGATACCATTTTCCATAAAATCCTCCATTTCAGTATGTTCCGTCTCCCCACACTGAATGCCAACATCACAAGTTTCACACTTCTCAAACATGTCTACCTGAATACCTTAAAAGGAATGTAATGCTTTATATTTCCAATAATATCAAAAACTGGATCCAATCAACTCTTAAATATGAGAATATAAAAAAGTCTTTTACTACTATACAAATGTGCAGGCCATTACTACTACAGTGCGGACTCGTTATTACGGTGACGGTTTTATAAGATAGAACACTTATTACGTTGTAAATTCAAAGCACAAAACCATTTCTTAACAAATCTATACAAAATAGAACTGTTTATTACGATGTCCTAAAATGCCGGGACTCGGTATTACGATGTAAAAATTCTGTCCAAATTTTTTTTTCACCCCGTGTTTATTCAGTGTTGATCGACTGTAGGCACTTAAGAAGACGCTAAATAAACATTGAAACACCTGTGCTCTGACAGAGTGTTAACTTGCAGGGCCGTTAGGTGATTAGTGACGCTTGACTGCACACACCTTGACTGTTCTAGCGAGGTCAGCAGAATTGGAGATGTGTCAAAGCCATCGTTAAACAATTAAACTGTTTATTTATAAATGTAGTCTCTAGTTTATCTATCTCTATAAAGTTTATTTTATTTTTTTTTTACTGTGAATAATAAGTAAAATTTATTTATGAAATAAAGGATTACATTTCATCGTATGCATGTATGTTAAATACGTAATGTGTAATTTCGTTTGCAGTTAAACAGCAAAATTGACAGCTTGGGTATCAAACATAATTTTGGCAAAATTTGAACTCCACTAACGTTTTAACAGCTTGGATAGTGGCTTGGACTACCTCACAGGTGTCAGCAGAAATACAAATCGATAATTGCTGAACTGCTAATTGAACTCTGTTCAGTAATTTAAAAATTCAAATTTATTTTGACATTTAGCTTGTGTGTTCTCAAATCCTGTCCAGGAATATGCCTATCACACTGCCCACTTTCATCAGTTGTTCACTGCAGCTGTAAGCTCATTGAACACCCAAAACCGCCCAGTTTGGATTAATTGTTATTTACGTAGTAACGATTCGAAGACATTGAAAATTTTACGAACACGTTATCTAGACCAAAACGAAAGTAAAAGTAAAAGGAAATGGCGACAGATAAATGAAGATTGCCGAAGTTTTTATAAAAAATGTGCACATTTCTTTTAAAATGAAGGAAATAGAAGAAATAGCATCATGAAGATATCTATTCAAGATAAGTTATTAATAAATTATATGTATATAGCGTTTTAATGAAGAATTTGAACAGAAGAAGGAAACAAAAGGAGAAAAATACACCTCCTTATACAACAACAAGGTTTCAAAACGATGTTTTACTGGATTTTATTGGGAACTTTTATCACATTGCCCTCGGTATTACGATATTTTACCGTGACAAAATGAACATCGTAATAACGAGTCCGCACTGTACATATGTGCAGGCATTTTCCTACTCTTTCAAAGTAACAAGAGACCTATGGACCATGCCACCAGGGATTTTTTTACCCTTTGAATCCAGGGGCCGGGGCCGTCAAAATTGGGAAAAATAGCGATATTTTGGTTGAAATTGGGGAAAATATCTTCATACAAATAAATAGGAAAAAAGAAGCAAAAGTCAAATATTTAATCATTCTTCTTATTTTTTATAGTATGAAGCTGGCTTAAACCAGCTTTAGTGATATGAAATAATACTAGGCGCTGCTGAAGTTCAGAAGCTTAAAAATGGCAAAGCCGCAGCGTATGATAACATTGTAAACTAGAGCGAGCTCGTTGCAAAGCAACGAATAGGTCTTCCGTTGGAGCTGCGGAAGGAAGAAGTGACCTTGAGTCAAGGTCATGCCACATTCTAAAGTTATACATGTAAGCAATCTTGTAAGGGGAAGCAACTTACAATATTTCGCTAGGAAAAACTGTAAAGGAATGTACGTGACCTTGAACATTCCAAATGCCTTGCGTCAAACCATGACACACTCTCGTCATAAAACCCAATCTGTGTGTTACCGACTTGAAAAGTTCACAGTGACACGTCATGTTCTTTTAGTCCATACATACAGTCAAAACATCTTATCCTTAGTGACCTTGAACTTGAGTCAAGGCCATGTCACACTCTGCATGATACCAGCAATGTTTCACTAGTACAAATACGGTAGCGAAATTACAGTTTCTCTGTCAGTGACCTTGACTCGACCAAATGACCTTGCATCAAGGCCATAACACACACTGGTTAAAAGGAATCCCAGTCTGTGAGTTTCTGAATGGATAAGTTCAGCCATGTTTTTTCAGATCATACAGCGAGTCGGAACAATTTGTTAAGTTCAACATAATGATTAAAAAATTCATTGAGAATGTTTTATGCCCAGTTTGGATAAGTAGTAAAACGTGGAGATCGGTCCTTTGGATGAGACCGTTTAAGGTCTCGTGTCGGGGTAAGTGCTAGCATGAAAAGGATCTCTCATGCTATAAATTTTGAATTTACCGGGTGGCAGTAAATACTGACAACCGGTAAGTTCAAAATCTACAACATGACAGATCCATGGCCCTTGATTCTACCTCTGATTTCAAAAGATTTGCACTGTTCATGATTTGTATTGTTTGAATGGTCTTTTAAGCTTGAATGCTGCACAGGTGCTTGTGGACAGGACCCCCCCCCTCCCCAATATACACCCCGGGGTCCAAGAATATTTTTATTCGTCTTTTTCCATAAATTAATCTTCTAGTACACATTTACAATGTATTCCATATGAAAAATCCATAAAAATAACGTAGAATTAACGTTTTATTAAAAAATCATACCCGCGGTATTATGATATAGAGAAGGTAAGTCACTTCCATTTGTTAACACTGGACCCCTCTTGGATATCGGGCCTAAAATATCATATACATGTACCTACCACATGTCACCAAAATATGTTATTATATCTTGTTTCGGTAGATATTTTTGTCTTTAATCGTGCTATTTAAACGGAAGACCTTAAATAGTGTCTGTGGCTGTCACTATTTCGGTGTTTTTCAGAAACTTGATCGTAGAATTAGTCAAAGTCCACAACTGGACAATAAACTGATAAATCGGCTACAGTATATTATCTGTTCACAGAAACGACATATTGAAACTGGAAAAAAAAATAATCCAGAAGCAATTCATTTCATTGAAATTCTATCATGAATATTTTGTTTTAATCGATGGACCCGATAAATCAATAAACAAACCGAAGGAAAAACGTTGCACGTGCCGTAACATTCTGTACGTTTTTTTTTAATTTTACATTCTACTTATGTACATATATATTAAACAGAAACATAAATACCAAGCCAGTCGGCATTTAAAAAAAAGTAATAAAACATAATTTGATTTGATCTATTTTATTTCATTTAAACTCTATTAATTTGTTTTAAAAGTATGATTGATCTTTTTCCTTTTAATATACACTCAGGGTAAAAAAAAAAGTATATATTGACTCGCGTAACTTTCATGGTTGTAGTTACATTTGAAAATGAAAATAATGAAATAATGAAATGTTGAAGGGACTGGTGTGTTGTATGGCTAGACAACGCCTTGCACATGCAGAGAAATTTACCACAGGTACTCTAGGACAGGTGTGAAACCCCTAGGGCATGCCGTTTCCTGCTCTTGCTCTGCTAATCCCTATACACAGGAAATGATCGCGACTAATACTTAATACACATAGAAACAGAATATATTCATGAAAACTTGGCATTGATTTTTTTTTTTTTGAGTATTATTGAGAATAATAAGTTTTAGTGATATACCCCCCCCCCCCCCCCTGCTTTAATTGTTTTGTGAAGTTCATCACCATGCACATTCCATCTTCTGTAATTGGAGAAATGTTTAAATTAAAAACAAACCACTGTTTACAAAAGAAGTAAATATCAAGGGGAAAAAAATTGTTATATTTTATTGATATCTTTTATAACGTTCACGCGCCCACTCACTGCAAAACGGTCACCATCGAATATTACAGCTTTCCGGTCATTCGACAATTTCAGGGAAATGCTTGCACATTAATACAGTAAAGTGAAATTATTTAAATGAATTATATTGTTCTAAATTTGGTAAAAAAAAAAAAAAAAAAAAAAAAAAAAAAAAAAAAAACATGAACAGTATATAGATATATTTTTTTCCTCATAGGAATGCTGAAAACTGTTAATCGGAACTCGCACTGACTATTGTTTAGCACGTGTATGTAACATTGCAGTTCGCATATAATTTGAAAAGAGAAGTTATTAGAACTTATATTTCCGACATTTAAATTTGTCACGTTAAACTCTCAAATGACTCAGCTTATAAATAGTTTTCTTGATACTATTTAAAAAAAGATGTCGCTTTAGTATTGATATATAACTTATCAAAATTAATAAATAATAAATAAAATTTAAAAAAAAACGATTAAATATATTCTGCTTTACAATTTTTTTTTGTTCATTCATTATTTTCACCTTTTGCGAAATAAAAGAAAATACTTTCATAAATATATATACACTGTGGGATCTTAATTTGTTTTTTTTTTAAAGAGGGAATTTCGCAAAATTCCTGTTCGGGGAGATAACTCCCGTTTGTTTACGATACTAGTTGATCGATGATTTAACCGCAGCGGGGACAGGTAGGTGATGAATTTCCCGCGGAGGGAACGCGGTTTACCTGTCTCACCTGGCCAAATCCCGCGTTGTGTTTATACCGCGACGGGGCGCGGGAAATACGGGATCCGCGTTGCCTGTACTGTACATGTATAGTCAATCAGATTAGAAATACAGCGACTATCAGAATTTCGGGCCGTAAAAAAGATCTGATTTTGATTAGATTTCAGGTGTAGGCGAATGTGTGTATACTGAGGGGTTAGTTAATTCATTCAAGATTTATTATATTGTTCGTTTGGACGAAGGCTTCATAAAAAATATACACACTGCTTGTACAGGTACACATCAATGAATGTTCAGATTAATTCAAAAATCGGCGGACATTAATTTATTTTAGTTATCTAAATGCAATGTTATTTCCAGAGACATTTATATTTTCTGTTTTTGTCTCGGATTTTTCTTTTCTGTGATTTACCGGTTTACAAAGGCCTGTGTTTTAACAGCTGTTCATAAACGCTGTCAATTAATATATGATCAGAGAAAACGAGACATCTCCCGGTAATTCATTTCTTATGGAAAATATATGGATTGACATCTTAGTATTTACCTGTGTAATTACGATGTTACAAACCGTGACGATGACTGGCCAGGAGGACTACCCGTTATGAAAACAACTCATGATCAACTCAGCGGACCTATAATTGACTTTAATATATGCTGTAAATCAATAAAATCATTTCAGTTTAACCGATATTTTATTGCAAAGATAATGGGAAAAAAAAGACTTGGGATTTAGAATTTTTCTGAATTTCAAACGCTCGATATGCATATATTTGGGGCGCTCTTGCATATTCACTTATAAAACGTGCATGTTCTGTACTTGCATGCGTGTACATTGTATGTATCCGTAAAACCTTAAGAGAGCTGATAAATGTGTTCTGATTTTCAGAAAAAATAATGGGAACCTATAAATAATTACATGTTTATCATTTTATTCGCATACAATAACAAGTTTAGTAGAAAAAAATAATTTGTTCAAGGTTAGGTGTCTAATAAATTTGTAATATTCAAATACAGTTACGCATGTATGTCTCATTCTACATATTTTGGAGGCGCGTGTGAATTTGGGATTTTGTATTTCCATACGCTCGATATGCATATATTTGGGGCGCTCTGTATATATACAGTTGTACATTTTAAGGGCGTCGACAAAAGAACGTATATTAGATTACATACATGTACATTTAAGTTTCAAAAGTTCCATTACTAGTAGGAATTAATTAAGGTTACATATTTTGAATTTTATTACGAATAAAACAGACAATTAACTCGATATCGAGAAATAAATTGTTTATAAAAATAACTATGCAACTTTCCTGTAATTCAGCGAATAAAATATTAAATAAAATGCACTAGCGATTTAATCAAAGATATTATGAAATAATCTGAAAGATTCAACACATTTATCCACTCATGACTTAGTTTACAAAATGAATTTGGAATGGCCATTCTCTGATTTGTTTTGTGTATGACTAGGTCGCTGGATCACACACGCCGATTGATCCCCGGTGACCTCCTTTGCCACGCGGTATCGAGGGAGATGTTACATAATTGTAAACACACAAGGTGAATGTAAAAGGCGCACACTTAATGCCTGTAAATAGTCTATGCTTCAAAGTTATGTTTTATTTTCTCAGTATATTGTTTGTTTTTATATGATAAGAAGAAAAGGTTATCTTTTCCCCCCTTTTTTTAGTAGACTGGTTTATTCGACTTTGAATAAAATGAAATAAAACGAAAAGTTGTCAAAAAATAACTTGGAAATAAAGCACAAAACACTTCAAGAACCTTATTCTAAAGAATATTAGCATCTAATGTAGCCAGATTTATTATTTATAGTAAGTTTATTTTAGTTACACGCATGAAGAGCTCTCGTTTACTTGCTTAATGAAAACAGTTACCTGTATATGGGTCAAGCTTCTGGCGCATTTAAAACACAAGACTCGAACAAAATAACATTTTCATGAAATCAATAAGATGTTAAAGAACAACTTATTTAACGACAGTTATTTCGAAATATTTACCGTTTTTGAGTTATAAAGCAAAAACTTTAAAGGGCTCCAGATCCCTAATTTGAGGGGCCAGCCCCTTTTTAGTGGTGTCAAATGAAAGGCCTTGAAATTGTGCACAACTTTTATTCTACATGTCTTATCAAAATATTTTTAATTTTAAAGATACAAAGGAAAATATGTCTAAATTTTCGCTCTTTTAGGCGTTCTAAATTTTGACCCCTAATTAACGCCATTTTGAATACAGAAATCGAAAAACAAAAACCGATGTGCACAACTTCAATCCTTCTATTATCTAAATTCGGTAGAATTTCTGCTCCAGCTTTTGTAGTCTCGGAGCCTTTGTCTGGAAATGAAGCCTAATAAATTTTCATTTAAAGGGCAATAACTCAAAAGCGGAAGTGACTTTTTGAACTCTTTGACAGCATTCTGATAGAGTTTTGTAACGTCTATAAACTTTGCAAATTTGAGCAAAATCCGTTGAGAAATGAGCGAGATATGAGGTCTCAAAGTTGGCGTCTAGGAAAAAGAAGAAAAAAAAAAGAATAATAATCTTAACCATCAGAATCAGTAGAAGGTCTTCCGTTGGAACGGAAGACCTTAATGAACATATTTATACGTTGTCATCTTTTTTACCTTTCTGTAAGAAGTTCTTTAAGATAAAATTTGAGAGTGGGTTTGTTCCAGATGATGGGTTAATCTGTATTATTTGACAAATTTATAAGAATAAGAGTGATTCAACCCAGCCTGCCTGAAAATTACCGTCCTAGGCAAACTGGAGAGACTGACATGATGCACGATTATTTATTAAAGAGGCTGGGGGGTTATGGCCATTTTTAGACTATATTGATCTCCTTTAGAAGAAGAGTTCCATATGAAGATATAGAAAATGATCAAGTTTTAAAACTAAAATTTTTGAAATTTTTCTTTGCCAAATGATAATTGACAGCTTAAGATATCATATCCAAAAAATTAAGTTAAATCTGGTGGTTAATTTGTGGTTAATTTGTTGACCCCCCAGCCTCCTTAAATAACGATCCCGACTTTAATTTTTAAACATCGATCCCGCTTTAAAAAGTATGCATACAAACATCCGTAGTATTCCGAATAACTTCTCAGAACTCCTCGGATGGATCGTACATCGCACATGGAGAACATAAACACTTTTTTGTCATTATTTTATTTTAATAATTTACAACTTAATACTTTTTTTCATATTGGGAATTTTTAGGTATAATTTTGGGAAAAACATACACTTTTCGGCATTGGGAATGGGCCCGAATTTCGGCCCCGGAGAGACCCTAAAAAAATCCCTGGCCACTTACCTTTGTCATCATGACCCTGTCATTTTGATTTTCAAAAGAATTCTTTCCCAACTCCACTTTATAAAATTTTGATCTCATGATATGGGACTCTTCCATTTAATCCCCCCCCCCCCCCCAATTAAGACAGACAATAGACCAACACCCTTGGCTCTGTGATCTAATAAAAATTGTTTCAATATTTGATATCGTGATTACTTAACTTAATGGAACTCTTTCGCGGTGGAGGTAGGAAACGTCTATTACCTGGGGGCAATGTGCTATTGCATACAATGCAAGATCTAGCATTGTGGATTTTTAAAGGGTAGATATGAAACAAGTCCTGGTGAAATATTTTGTGGAACATTTGCTGAACCACGCTAATAATTTCATGAGAACCTAGTCCAAATGTTTTACATTTTTATTGATACTTTTTCACTAAGCCGACTCATCTAATTAAATTCAACTATTTCTTTCTGATAATAGTTACTTTTGGAAGCTGATAAAATAAAACTCTAAACATTCCAATTCGACAACCTACTATTTGAAGTTCAACCCTTTGCAATACATTGTACTTTCGGCATACTAATTATTTGAACCATTCGATTGTCACTAGCGTAAGTACTTCATGCCCCGAAAATCTCGTGAGATTTAGAGTTTCTCAACTTCGCCGCAGAAGAGTGGCATTACGATAGGTAACTGGGAGGTAATCACGAAATTAAGTATTAAACATCCAGAACAACTTGACTGACTGAAAACTATAAAAAAATATTTTCAAAAATCTTCCAAAGACAACACACTACAATACCTATACTTCTGTAGCTCTCTCTTTTTAATCCCAACTGTGTTCCCCTTGACTGTTTCTTGGGTGGGTCACTATCAGGAAGGATTTCATCTGTACAAGTAGCCTATAAAGTTTTGTTTAAAGTCAATTAAAATAAATTCAAAAATTGCAGCATGAAACCAGCAAAAATGGTTTGAAGAAATGAAGCTGATTATTATATTCTGTCAATACTTTAAAGTTAATTCTACAAAAGAAAAACTTTATTAAGAAAGTTGTTTTTGCATTTTTTCTATTTAATATATATATCAAGAACTCACTGTATCCTGTGCTTTATCTGACTCAAGTGAACACATAACTTGATGTGGTATGTTATTCAGAACCTGTAAATGAGCCTGTAAATGGTGCAATTCTTTAGTAACAGAATAAGGTTAGAGCTCGTAAAAAGGTATACACCATGATATGAATATGGCAGACAAATTTCCTTGAAGAATCGTGTTCAGCTTTAGGTTTCAAAATGTCCAAATGTGATAAAGTTTCTCAATTACATTTGGTATATGATTTACCTGCAGACATGAAAACATACTTACTATGTCACCTGTAACAGTTGCCTCAGCATTCAATAAATCATCTTCTCTGACTTCATCTTTTTCTGATGAGCTTAAGGAAATCTAAAATGAACAATCAAAAACACTAAACATATACTTCTATTGTTTCATGTTAGTTCTCATGAATGCAGTAAACCAGTATATTACTGCATCAGCATTCAAAATTTGTCATTTTGGCTATGATGCACTCCAATATTAAAACTTTACCAACATCAAACAGCATATTAAAACAAGAAGTCTGTGAGCAAATGCTCACTAGATATACCCCCGCTCTGATGTTAGTATATCCTCTTATGTTGACATAGAATTCGTACAAAAATGAATCCCACCATATAACATGCCTAAACAGAGTATGCTAAAATTTCAAGCATCTGTGATGAGCAATTGCTGAGAAAACTGCGAAGAAAATTTGGTACAGACACACAGACAGACAGACAGAAACACAAGGGTGAAACAGTATACACCCCTCTCCTTCGGAGCGGGGTATAATAATCTTTCATTACCAACGGCATGACAATATCTACTCATGACTGTCCAATAATAATATTGAATGTATGTCTTTCTTCCCTTTCTCTTTTAAAACTAATAAAAACACAACATATCACCCATCCACCCCGTATAAAGTATCAAGGTATATACATATAAATTCTTTTTACTAGATCTATAGTTAGAATAACCTGTGTCCATGGACAGGCTTTACCGATTATTGATAAAGCGGATCCATGCGAGAAGATCATTTCCAATTTCAAAACTCCATCTATTTTACATGTATCTTTCACTTTATCTATTTTTTCTATTGCATATACAATCAATCAAGTGCACTTACTGCGGAAGCACCTGCTTGTGACAACCTTTCAACCACAGTTTCAGCATGTTCAGTATGTCCAGTAGTGCCATCAAACAACTGTTTAAAAAAATCAGTCATTACTAAACTTCAAGTTTTCTAACTAAAATATATGAACCCCCATTATGTTTTTATATGCCTATGTATTTTCCATTCATTGCAGTGGATATGATCTTAATTAGGGTCCCAGTGACAAGAATATTAAACCGTGTGAACATTTATCTGTTTAACCAACATTTTAAAACTTACCCTATATATTTTGAGGTTTTGTATAGCACGTCAGCGGTGTTCAGGCTTTGACAATGAGGGGGAATGGATGGTTGGCACAGCCCCGGGCCTGAGTGTTAACTTTTTCTTGAAACCACTCCGCCACTGTTGGTATCCCTCAAAATCTGATGGGGCTATACAATCTCTCACCAGAGGGCGTATTACGCTCCGTGTAAGCGGAGCGCGCCCTCTGGTGAGAGATTGGGGGCTATAAAGGATTTACAGTCAACTCGTACCCAAACCGACTCGTACCCAAACCGAGTCGTACCCAAGGAGTCAACTCGTACCCAAAACTGTTACTTACATATACAGTGTATATTATATACAAAGACATGTACTATAGATTATTTAATAGTATACACATAATTCGTCTGTGCTGATGGTAATTGCATAAATCATGCTTGATCTACATACATGTATATATCTATATATGCCAAGTTGAATTTTTCAAACAAATTTAATTTAATGGACCGTTTCACAGTAACTGCAGTACTGCTCTTTTGCAGGGCAAAATGATAAATTTTGGTGAAATATGACGTAAAAGTAATTGTGAAATATACGTCATTTAATTATCTCTCAACAAAAACTTCGCCAAACGTTATTATTTTGCCCTGCAAAAGAGTAGTACTGCAGTTACTGTGAAAGGGCTAATTGTCATTATTTTATAAAATATAAGTAGTGTAACTAAATTGGAATAATAAATCAGATATCTTTATGAAAATATCTCAAAAAGTGAAATATTTTCATTATTAATTTTATTTTATGACTTCAATTTTGGGTACGAGTTGACTCTTTGGGTACGACTCCGTTTGCGTACGAGTCGGAATGAGTATGAGTTGACTGGATACCCTATAGAAGGTATCACACCGGTAATTGACCAATCAAAATGAACTTAGTCAATTGTAGTTCCATACATAATAAAGAAATATTTTTTTTATTGTGAGAAATTTTGTATTTTCCCTTATTCTATTTTTACATTTTTGGTATCTGTGCTTAGGATATTTTATGTACTTTGTAAAATATTAAAGGTTTTTGACAGGAACTATTTCTTTCGGGGCATAGGAGGCCACTTCCTGGGGTGCACACAGGATGTTTATAAACACATTGAATACACGTGGTTTTGAGGGTATTCCTGTTTGCGGATGGAAAAAATCAGAAAATGCCGTGTAGGTACCCTATTTTTTGGTGTCAGCTGATGTGACTGGTAACGTTTAACACTTCCTGCTAAATATTTTTTCATGAATTCGAATACCTGATTTTTAATGATTTTTTATTCTATATAGAATTACATAGTGAAAACAATTACCGGTGTGATACCTTGAAGGTGATCGTGTAAAATCATCTACCCCCATATTAAAGGCAGTTTTAATTTTATGAAGGCATATTTCAACAAAATATGTCATTTTATGAACTTTCTGTGTGAAAGCACACATTTTTAAATTTAGAAGCAGGGTTGACATTAATTTATACAGATTTCTATGTAAAATACTAATAATATGTTATGTTTCACCCTCAAAACTCCAAATTATGACTTTCAAAGTAAGATTATGCATCTGACATGTAGAAAGAAGTTAGAAAATGTTGGTTTTTTATTTTAGATGACTTTAAACTCTGTGCACCACCTGACCGCAGTCAATTATAGTGTATTCAGACTTTGCCGTGAAAGCACTTTAGGCTGATCTTTTCAAGAAAAGACTAATTCTGGGTTTGCGAATGAGTTTTCAACAAAAGCGACAACTGCGATAAAATGTGAAGAAGTAAAACATGTTTTTAAAAAGTGTTAAATTTTACAGAGACTGGGTTTACTTTCATTTTATTCACCTTAAGTGATTCATTTATTACTGGAGTGGAGGAATAGAAATAATGAAATGAGTTAAATTTGTCTAATAAAAGTAATGTACAAACAAAATTTATGAAGAATTTGTCAAAAATAAGAAGCTTATGACCAAAAATGCATAAATACTGTCAGGGCATGAGAGTGAATACTTATTCTGAGTCCCAACCATGCATCACACATATAGTACAGAATGTCACTTAGCACCATGGTATGCCTGTTATGGTTCTCTAGACTTTTTCCATGCTTTCGCAGCTGACATTCAAGATTTTTCCGTTTGCCGGAGAATGTTTTTTGTCATTTTACCACTTTTATGTAGGTGTTGACCCTCTCTTTTAAATTAAGTCTCAGTCAGGATGTTTATTTTAGCATGATTTGTTAAGCACAATAATGTACTGAAATATTAATAAATTACAAATTAAAGTGATGAAGAAATTTGACATATTTACACAATCAAAATATCAGAATAACCATAATTCAGCTAATAATGTGCCCTGTTCTTCTTTTGTCACTTCCTATATATTTTTTCAGCAGTTTTTGTACACCCACCCACCTCCAAGAATCATGGAGGATGGCCTGATATTAGTTTCTTTGTTGCATTTATTCACATTTAAAAGTGTTAAGACCCATAAAAATGTTTAAGATTTATATTTTTAAATTTAAATGTTGAATTTTTATGTAAATTTGGTGAAACAAAAAGCTGTAATCTTGAATTAATCATGCAAATTCATCAAACACCTTTGAAATTCCTGAGTAATTCAATGAAAAGAGGATAATTATGTATGTTCAATTGGAATTTCATGGCTAATTTGTGTCTGCAGAGAAAGCCAGTTACATAAATCACAACAATAAATTACATCTGAATTGTTTTCTCCATTTTCTTATCATCAAAGCAAGTTTAATGGAGTGTCAGAGCTGTCCAGAACCTCCCCAGATGCTGATATCATTTGGACTGCCCTGTGTTACAACACAGCTTTTAGATAAACTTCTGCATAGCAGGTTGTAGACAAGTACCTAGGCTTTATTTGGAACATAAATTGACCAGATGCAGATTTTATTATCAGCCTAATATTTAACAATTTCTGTAAATTCTGTCATTCTTAGGAGGGTAAAATGCAATTTTGTTATGTAATAATTGCATAATGGTCTCAGACTTGTGAATTATTTTTTGTTTGTTGTGAAGAACAGTGCATATACTCTCCACGGATACAAAATTGGTTGCCAGGCTTAGTCTATTAAGGATGAAATTCTGCTTCAAAATATGCACAAAAATCTTCTGTCAGAGTGCTCAGTGTGTATTCTTGACTGCTGTGGAGTAAGGGAGATAAATGCATCATATCTCCAGCAATAATGGGAATTAGATCCCCAGACTTCAGGATGTTAGTGACAGTTATTTAAGAAATCTCAGGTGCAAAAATGAAAAAAATCTGACAACTTCATAGGTCCTTCAAGGTATCACACCGGTAATTGACCAATCAAAATGAACTTAGTCAATTGTAGTTCCATACATAATAAAGAAATATTTTTTTTATTGTGAGAAATTTTGTATTTTCCCTTATTCTATTTTTACATTTTTGGTATCTGTGCTTAGGATATTTTATGTACTTTGTAAAATATTAAAGGTTTTTGACAGGAACTATTTCTTTCGGGGCATAGGAGGCCACTTCCTGGGGTGCACACAGGATGTTTATAAACACATTGAATACACGTGGTTTTGAGGGTATTCCTGTTTGCGGATGGAAAAAATCAGAAAATGCCGTGTAGGTACCCTATTTTTTGGTGTCAGCTGATGTGACTGGTAACGTTTAACACTTCCTGCTAAATATTTTTTCATGAATTCGAATACCTGATTTTTAATGATTTTTTATTCTATATAGAATTACATAGTGAAAACAATTACCGGTGTGATACCTTGAAGGTGATCGTGTAAAATCATCTACCCCCATATTAAAGGCAGTTTTAATTTTATGAAGGCATATTTCAACAAAATATGTCATTTTATGAACTTTCTGTGTGAAAGCACACATTTTTAAATTTAGAAGCAGGGTTGACATTAATTTATACAGATTTCTATGTAAAATACTAATAATATGTTATGTTTCACCCTCAAAACTCCAAATTATGACTTTCAAAGTAAGATTATGCATCTGACATGTAGAAAGAAGTTAGAAAATGTTGGTTTTTTATTTTAGATGACTTTAAACTCTGTGCACCACCTGACCGCAGTCAATTATAGTGTATTCAGACTTTGCCGTGAAAGCACTTTAGGCTGATCTTTTCAAGAAAAGACTAATTCTGGGTTTGCGAATGAGTTTTCAACAAAAGCGACAACTGCGATAAAATGTGAAGAAGTAAAACATGTTTTTAAAAAGTGTTAAATTTTACAGAGACTGGGTTTACTTTCATTTTATTCACCTTAAGTGATTCATTTATTACTGGAGTGGAGGAATAGAAATAATGAAATGAGTTAAATTTGTCTAATAAAAGTAATGTACAAACAAAATTTATGAAGAATTTGTCAAAAATAAGAAGCTTATGACCAAAAATGCATAAATACTGTCAGGGCATGAGAGTGAATACTTATTCTGAGTCCCAACCATGCATCACACATATAGTACAGAATGTCACTTAGCACCATGGTATGCCTGTTATGGTTCTCTAGACTTTTTCCATGCTTTCGCAGCTGACATTCAAGATTTTTCCGTTTGCCGGAGAATGTTTTTTGTCATTTTACCACTTTTATGTAGGTGTTGACCCTCTCTTTTAAATTAAGTCTCAGTCAGGATGTTTATTTTAGCATGATTTGTTAAGCACAATAATGTACTGAAATATTAATAAATTACAAATTAAAGTGATGAAGAAATTTGACATATTTACACAATCAAAATATCAGAATAACCATAATTCAGCTAATAATGTGCCCTGTTCTTCTTTTGTCACTTCCTATATATTTTTTCAGCAGTTTTTGTACACCCACCCACCTCCAAGAATCATGGAGGATGGCCTGATATTAGTTTCTTTGTTGCATTTATTCACATTTAAAAGTGTTAAGACCCATAAAAATGTTTAAGATTTATATTTTTAAATTTAAATGTTGAATTTTTATGTAAATTTGGTGAAACAAAAAGCTGTAATCTTGAATTAATCATGCAAATTCATCAAACACCTTTGAAATTCCTGAGTAATTCAATGAAAAGAGGATAATTATGTATGTTCAATTGGAATTTCATGGCTAATTTGTGTCTGCAGAGAAAGCCAGTTACATAAATCACAACAATAAATTACATCTGAATTGTTTTCTCCATTTTCTTATCATCAAAGCAAGTTTAATGGAGTGTCAGAGCTGTCCAGAACCTCCCCAGATGCTGATATCATTTGGACTGCCCTGTGTTACAACACAGCTTTTAGATAAACTTCTGCATAGCAGGTTGTAGACAAGTACCTAGGCTTTATTTGGAACATAAATTGACCAGATGCAGATTTTATTATCAGCCTAATATTTAACAATTTCTGTAAATTCTGTCATTCTTAGGAGGGTAAAATGCAATTTTGTTATGTAATAATTGCATAATGGTCTCAGACTTGTGAATTATTTTTTGTTTGTTGTGAAGAACAGTGCATATACTCTCCACGGATACAAAATTGGTTGCCAGGCTTAGTCTATTAAGGATGAAATTCTGCTTCAAAATATGCACAAAAATCTTCTGTCAGAGTGCTCAGTGTGTATTCTTGACTGCTGTGGAGTAAGGGAGATAAATGCATCATATCTCCAGCAATAATGGGAATTAGATCCCCAGACTTCAGGATGTTAGTGACAGTTATTTAAGAAATCTCAGGTGCAAAAATGAAAAAAATCTGACAACTTCATAGGTCCTTCAAGGTATCACACCGGTAATTGACCAATCAAAATGAACTTAGTCAATTGTAGTTCCATACATAATAAAGAAATATTTTTTTTATTGTGAGAA